TAACTGTATTTAAACGTTAAGCTCAAAATTAGGCTTTTGTTGAAATAATGAATGCTCTTACTAATACTGCGACAACTACTGCTACTAATATTTCTAGTATCACTACTACTACTACTACTGCTAATACTTCTACTGCAACTTTTGCTGTTGCTACTATTACTACTTCTACTACTACTACTACTACTGATACCATTGCTATTATTTCTACCACTACTGCTATTACTACCACTACCACTACTATTATTACTTATACCACAACTGCTACTACTGCTATTCCTGCTACTACTACAGCTATTAGTACGACTGCTACTAGTACTACTACTACTTCAAAAACTGACTTTACTATTACTACTACTTATTCTACTGCTACTACTGTTATATTAAATACTACGACCACTACTACAGCTATTACTACGACTACTGATACTACTTCTTCTTCTAATTACTAATACTTCGACAACTTCTACTACTACTACTACAACAAATATCACTACCGCTGAAATTTTTTTAAGCTACAGAAACCGTTCGAATATCAAAATGTTCAGCTCTTTCAGGAGAGGGGTGATATGACTTCATATTTGTAATCTTTCAAATTTTTGAATTATTAAGCTTTTTGCAATTGTTTTTAAATTGGATATCTATTTTCAGAAATGTTTTTGCAATTCATTTCAGCTTTCAGCATTCCAACGCATTTTCAGCAGGAAATGCATTTTCTAGTTTACACTTCATTGCCTGGTTGTGCACTCACCCCCGCTCATCAGCTGTTTTGCCCGACTTGCTTTGCCAAGGGGCGATTTTAAAGGAACCACATCTGTTGCAAAGCGTCAAGCTGCGATCGGCACCTAACTCAATGTTTTTTGTCACCTAACACTATTGTAAGCCGTTGAGTTGCCTCTCAGCAAAATGCTGAGTGAATTTAAGTGTGTCTTTTATCTTGAAAAGTAAAAACAGAATGAGTGGAGCCGTCTGCGTAAACACAAACATTGTGGAAAATAATCAAAGAATTATGAGTATTTTATTGTATTACCTGCATGTAAACAAAAATCATATTCAATGGCTCGAAAATGTTTCGGCTGGGCCTCAGTAGCTCACATGCAATGCATCACTGCTGCCACATTCTGTGTGCAGGTGAACTCAGCTTTCTCAGTCAATGAAGCACACACAAATGTATTTATTAAAAGGCACTACATTAGTGTTTACCATCAACACTAATTGGACATCCACATAAAAAAGTGAAGTTACTTGATTATAGGTAAATCCATCGTATAGGGACTTACTATTTGAGACTCAAGCATTATTTCAATATCAGCTTGAAAATTATCAGTCAATTTCATTGCTCATTTTACTTTGCACAATGGATATTTTGCCATATTTTATTAATTTCAAAAGTATCTTGAGGAGTTGACTCGTAGCACCATGTAGCTGTTTGTCACATGCATGCGGGTGACACGATCCACAATACTGCCAACGGTGTCACAATATTCCACTGACCAACTGGTGATGGTAAATAGAAATGCATTCATCACATTTCTATTAGCTCAAGGATTCAAGCAGGTTTTTTTGGTGATAAACACTGAACGTAACAAGAAAACTCATCAGGACACCTTTAAATACAAGTGTTTTTTTTCACTTTGAATAAGTGTCATTGAAACATAATTTAATATACAATTTTAATAGAAATATTTGTTGTGATGGAAATGACATGTGATAAAACAACTGGATGTAAATGATAAATGGACTGTGCTTGTACAGCGCTTTTCTAGTCTTCCGACTACTCAAAGCACTTTAACACTGCATGTTCATTTACACATTCGCACCCATGCACCGCATGCACAGCCTAAGTGTCATGGACATGGACTAGCGTAGACGGGGATCAAACCACCTATCCTCTGATTGAAGGACGACCTGCTTCACCACTGAGCATGTATCAGAAAAGACACAAACTGGGTGTAGACAATGTTGAATTCACAGTGGGTCATAAAGACAGCCGTGCTGGTGCTCTCTGCGGGTAACACTTTCAAACAGGTTGCAACTCTCATTTATCAGCGAACTCACAGCAGATTCTACTCTGAATGGCTGATGACAAACACCTGCTGCAGTGTGACATCATTGATTGGAGCACGGCGTTACATACTTGAAAGCTTGAGAGCAGCGTAGCAGCAGTGTTTGCAGCATGTGTGCTTGGGTTTACAATTTGCAAATAATGCATGTGAGGAGCTCACTTACTGCTGCTTTATGTTTCAGGCTTTCATTCCACACAAAAACATGACTTACTACCACTCTTCATCTATTGTTTTCAGAGCCTTGACCTGAAGACGTGCACTGCATAATAAAAGCATTAAGCAGGTTGAGTTAGTGGGAAGACTTTAATAGTCTGAGATTGATATTTTGTTGTAAACTAATTATTTGCTGTGTGTCAGTGTTGTGGTTCGATATGGTCCAGGGACCATTAAAGAAAACCTCAAATGGAAAAAAAAAAGCCCTTTGGAAAAACAAAACAACTCTTGTCCATTATGTGCATCATTTGTTGCCCTAAATATTAATCACGACAATTAAGAATAGTGCGTTGGAGAAAAAAAAGTTGTTAAAAAAAAGGGGGAAAACAAATCTGGTTTCCCATTCTTGTAGAACTGTGGTGAGCCAGTGTGAGTCAGCCTGACTCTAAAGGGTATTTAAAGGGCATCTACATTAGCCAGATTGAAGGCAGCATACAAAAAGACACTGCAACAAAAAGGCAGCAATTAGCAGAAGTTACTGCATCCCATTCCTTCCAAAAAAAACCTCATTACACACACACACACACACATCTGCAATCTTCATAACTGGTGAACAGCTTAGCACCATGAATCTGCATAAAGTGTGTATGAAGCATTTGTAACGCACTGTTCATATACAATAAACACAGCTCTTTCCTATTGTCTCTTATGTTTTGTGCCCTAAATTCTGTAAGTCTTTGATTGAAGACACACACACGCCATTTTTCTTTTTAGTTTAAATTGATAATACTGTAGATAAGCCTTGTGTGTCAAAGCCAGCATGATGAATAACATAAGCATAGTAATTGATAGGTATTGCATGTTAACACGAGTGCTTTGCTAACCTCTTAAACTCCAGTGTTTGTTAAATGATGGTGCTGCTTAGATCACTGATGGGTAGTGCCGGATCTGATAATACTACATACTGAACCTGGCTAACCATTGACATCACTTTGTCCACTTACTATCGGATAACATTAGCTATTGATAGCATTGTATTTTCCTGCCCTTATGAGCACCATAAAAGATTGTGTTACTATAGTCAGCATTAACAGCATTTTCAATCTAACACCAGAGTATAGGACCGATTTGTATTGCCTGTGGTGATATATGCATGTATCAGATGGTTGCTAAGTGCACATGGTTACTGTGGTTAAATAAACGGTGTGCAACGGGCATATACTTATGTGCAAGGACATCCATGTTTCAGTGTTCTTTCTTTACCTATATTTAGGAATCATTAGAAATCATTACATTGATGTATTCAAAGATTATATAACTGGTATCCGATTGCTACAATGGGATCCAATGATGGAATAGAAAAAGAATCCATGACCATTTGGACCTAAGATGGAATAGAAACTATGATGACATGTAGAATCTGTTGGAATGTTGGGAATCTATAAATACTCAGAACCAATTTTGGTTCAGACACAAAATTTACTCAACAAAATTGGCTTTGACAATGGAAGGTGCACATAGCTAGAGAAAACCAGGAGGAAAGAGGAGAGAAAAATCTGACGTTCAGCAGATGACACAGCTGGAAGACGTAGAATTCAACCAGGTTGAACCTCCAATCAATTGCTCCCTCAGTTCACTGGAAACCCAAATCATGTGTGTACTGAAGCAGCAAGGCGATGCTCAAAAGTACATCTGAGGGCAGAGATTTGTGGATGTCCAATCCTAACTTCAACATATGCCTGAGAAGAGGTTTGTAAAGCCTGCACTTGAAGTGTAAAGCACTGCAGGAAACAGAGAGCGGCTCTATATGTGCAGCGTCAGTGGCGCAGTCCATTATCACAGTAGTAATTTAATTGTTTAACTCTCTCCATTATTGCCTCCAGTATCTCCTCTCCAATGGGTGTGATCATCTTATTCTGTATTGTTTTCCCCATGAACTGATCAGCAATGTATTTATTCTCTGAAGTGGTCGCTCTTGGGTGGAACTTGGCACGCAGCTCCACCAGACCTAGACAGTTCCCATTATTTGGTTCATGTAGGGTGGAATCGTGACCATGGATAGAATGTTTTATTCTGCAAGATAACAGACTTTGGCAATGAATCTCTGTTTGTTTGTTTCAGCATTTGCCTTTCCAACTCGCGCCAGCAATCCATGATGGCATGGTGCACGTTTGACTTCTCAAGTGTGAGAGTGAGACACTCCCACATTCTCAAACCTAAGACTAGGTATAGTCTTAGCCACAGCTGAAAGTGTTTTGCAGCACCAAACAGCAGCTTTATCAGATCCTTTCACTTCTACTTGAATTGATCTACAACCCTATCACAGCATGGTCTCTTTGGTTGTCTGACATAAGTAAGTAACAGCCAATTCTCTAGTGAATGTTCATGATGGGGCCAGACGTAGCCGGTGGCAGATTTGTGACCCAGCAGCAAAGCCTCTATATCTGCCCTATATCTGTGTGCTATGTGTAGTTGTTTTTTGGCCAAGTCTAAATCACTGCAGGGTGTTGAGAGCCGTTTACAGATATCAGAGTGGCTAAATGGATTTTCTCTAACAGTCTGCTGTTTGTATAAACCCAGAGAATTTCGCTTCTCATCAAAGAATCTCAACAGTGTGAAAGCAAGGTAGAGTTTGTTTTGCCCGGAGACATATTCAAGCTCATGTTATTAATCAAGCACATCAAATTAAAACATGACAACAAAGGTTATCTTTGCTGATTGAGTCAGGGACAACAATGTAAACAACATTCAACACACACAGACATCACAGACAGAACATCTTACCTATGGCGTCACCTTGTTCATGGACCATACTGGCCAGATCCTTCATTATTTGACTGACGTCCAGCATGTCTTTCTATGGAGAAAACACAGTATATATTAATGTTATACCACTCTTCATCTCAGTGTCTGTCTGATATCAACCACTTGCACTGATTGGCTGAGAACACATTATAGATACAGGAAACACCAAATCCTGACTTGTTACTTGGTTTTACCATTAACTAATCAATAACTAGTTTTTTACTTTAATTGTATTACCTTTATTTCCTGGGTTTAAAAATATTTACAAGGTGTTATGTCATGTGTCCAAATATAGAATACAGCTTTTCCCTTGGTGTCGACTTTGATGAGTGGCAGCTAATTAGGCTAATTAGCTGCTAAAAAGAGTACAACACCAATTGAGCATTGCTGTCCTTTAACATTGGTGGAATCACATTGGACAACTACAAAGAAAACAATCAAAGTTGGTGCAGCAGAACCAGAGATATTGTTTTGCTTTTTTTAATACCAAGCATTATTCCTCCTTGTGAAACCTGGCGCCTACCATAACCACAATGTAAATAGAGATAAATATCCACCAAAGGTAGCATGAACTAAGACAGAGGTGCACACACTCAGTTAAAATGTATCAATTAGACCAAAACATGTCTTTTCCTTGGGATGATGAATCTATGCATCTAGTGTAATGGTGCATAACTTACAGACACACTAAAAGGACAGAGAGTAGAGGAAAATAGAACTGGAGTTATGTCAGTTTTGAGGACAGTTGGATCACTCATTTTAGTTCACAGGTCACATACAGCCAAATTTGATCTCAAGTGGGCCGGACCAACGAAACCATTGCATAATAACACCACCTCAGTTTGTCCCTTTTCTTGTTGTTTAAAGAAGTACAAGTACATTCTGAAAAGGTTCTTAAATAATGATCAATCTATTTACAATAGAAATGGGAAGAGCCTGAGATGTCTCGCTGATCTCTCGGCTACGACTAAAAACAGACTAACAGTAGCCTACGCAGGACAGTGTTATGTCACGTAGCCTGTACGTAACCACATGGGATCTATAATATCCAGCAAATGGCCTCCTGCTACTCTTATTAACACAACCCCTTGTGAACAAATAGGAAAGGCAGTGCATTTTATTGAAACATTGGAATTAATGACTTGAGTTTTCCTACTTGTATGTATGTTGTGGTCATTTCACAAATTTCTGTGAAATCTTTTTGAATCAGTGTGTACCTTGCTAGCTAGCTTACAGCTAACATATTTACAGTCAGTATTGGGGCGAAGACAGACTGCAGAAAAAGTTCAGCATTTAAATTTGTGCAAATAAAACAAGCTTTGAATTTGCTTTGCGATTATGTTGGAACACACCTGTAGAGTTGACTTGATGACTTCTTTGTAATGTTGGAAAATGCCACGATTACAGGACATGAGTGTGTATTTAGCTGGTGGTCTGCTCAATATTGGTGCCAAATAATAGATTTCCCTGAGTAACATCAGATTACACTACAGGGGGTTGTTGATTGATATTTGATGTGTTGTGCAACTATACATGCACAGATTTGTAAAGGAAATGCTAAATGACACTCCCCCCGTCCCTGTCTAATTGACACATTTGGATTTGTGTTTAATCCTGGACATTGTGCGCTTGACTTGACTAAGTTTTTCTTTCATTATTTCTCTGTCAGGGCACAGAGCAAACCAGTGCAGCTACGGCTGACCGCAGCTAAATCTCCGCAGTCCCCGAGCTTTGATTGTGCTCTCACTGTTTCAGCTCAAAGTAATATGAAAGCTTATAAAACCTCTGTCTATCTCCTGCTCACAGGTCTCCCCCCCCCTCCCCC